TCAAGGTCCTAAATCGCCGTGAGAAAAGCGCGAGGCCGGCACCCACCGAACAGATAGGTAAAAGCCACCTAGGATCGAGCCTGCAGATTATCCATCGCTCGGTCCACCAACGCTTGGGTGACAAAAGCACTAATCGTGACCTTAGAGAGGTCATTGAACGAGGAAAAACTATCGGGCGCGACTTCGACGAGATCGCGGCCTTAAAACGCAGGATCGCGGAGCTGGAAATTCGGCACCATCCCAAGAGGGACCTTCACCTCTTCTCCCTCCACGGAAATCTCCCTGGGTCGTGGACCACGCTTTGCCTCTCTCCGCCGACATCCTGCAAGAGCCCGTGCCAAAAAAGATCAAGGTGCCACAGCTCGAACTTTACGACGAGATCTCAGATACTGACTCCTACGTCGGCCTCTACACGTCCAGGATGGACCTGTATGGCACGTCCGACGCCTTACGTTACCGCATGTTTTCCTTGACGCTGGGGCCGAAGGGTCAAATGTGGTACCACTCTTTGTACCCCCACTCCATCTCCACCTGGGGGCAACTCAGGTCGGCGTTCCGTTCACACTTCATCGGATTGCAGATCAACCTTGCCCCCCAAAGAATCAATTGCCAGCATCGTCCAAGGGTAGGAAGAAAGTTTGAAAGACTACATCGCTCGATTCAATGACCGAGTACAAAACATAGAATAATACCATCCAGAAGCCTTGCTGATCTCTGCACAGGCCGGCCTGAGACCAAAGACCTTATTCAAGTGGTCACTGTGTCAAAACAAACCAACCATCTACCAAGAATTTCTGACCCGAGTCCAGAACTAAATCATGGCGGAGGAATTCTTGTCGATCCCGACGCTTGACGCCATGCCAACCAAGAGCAAGGCTAAAGAGGAGAAGAAGAAGTCGAGCAAGTCATTCGTCGAGATCCAATCCTTGCGGAGGCAAAAAGCCGATGAGCTCAAAGAGAACTACCAGTGCGTCTTTTCCGTGGGGGCAACCGCGGTCTACGAGGAAATCAAAGCTAAGGGATTGCTGCCAGAACCGAAGCCGATGTACGTCGACAAGGACAAGGTTGACAAATCCTGATACTGCACCTACCACACGACACACGGACATAACACCGACCAGTGCTGGAATCTGATCACGGCGCTGCTCAAGCTGATCGATGACCCGCAATTGAAGAAGTTCACCCATTCCAACGATAAGAGAAAGAAAGAAGGTCATTTCAAGGACGGCCTCGATAGTGATGAAGATGTCGACGTTCACCATCGGAGAAAGAATCCACAGCAGGAGGCCCCAACGAAATCCTGACTTTCAGTCCGGCCCATCAGGGTGAGGCCGGCACCTCCAGGGGTAGGAAGAGAGACCAGTTCCCACCGCCAGGGGCTGACCAGACAGCCCACTCACCTCGGTGCGTCAACACAAGTCGAGGTGAGTCCCTTCTTTAGAGGAGGCATACCAAGGCCTACGCCCAGGAAGCCTATTACGCCGGGCAGAGGGTGCTGGATGCTGGTAGCAGACGGGCACCAGAGCCAACGCCAAACAAGATCTCTTTCACAGACGAGGATGCGTTCCTGTTCGACCACCCGCACTTCGACGCTCTGGTGATCACGACGCTGATCATGGCGATTAAGATCCATCGCGTCATGGTGGACACTGCGGCCTATACAAGCATCCTTTTCTACAACACTTTTAAGAAGATAGGGA